ATCCTCCTTTTTCAGCTCTGGATACAAAAAACAAGCGACAATCACGAAACAAAGCAGGTTATTTAGGTTTACAAAGTAATACGTTTCATATTTGTTTCATTTTATTTTTAAAGTTGAAAAGTAATGATTAAAGGAAGGCTAACGTGCTGCTATTGTCCAGGGGGAAGGGCTACCACAGCAAAGCACATGACTGAATGTGTGAGCGTGCACGTGCCTACAGGGATAGTCCAGCTGCTATTACAGTCTCATGTACTCACTGGCTTGTTCCATGACGCTGCGCAGGGGACCCTCGACTTTGGCCAGCAGCCCCGAACACATCTCCTCAAACTGGCCTCTGGGGACACATGATCATAAATTATTAATAGGTGCAGCCAACATGCACACTATGGAAAACTCCATTAATTTAAGAAACAACACTATTCCCTTTTTAAAATACTTGTGGCTACATGCTATATGCTGATCTTATTCTCTTATTTAATTTAACTTTACTTCTTACCTGTTTAGTTTACTGGAAACATCAATATCATTCATGAAGCACTCAATGTTGAGAGGGAGGTCAGAGGAGTTGGCACTCATCAGCTTCTTGAGCTTCTCGCACTCCTGGTAGAGCCGCACAAGTGCACGGGGCTTGGACCTCACATCCAGCTTGTACTTAGTTCCAAACTCCTCGCAGAAGTGGTTGACAAGGATATCGTCAAAGTCCTTGCCACCAAGGTCTGAGTCAAACGCAGTGGCCAGGATCTAACAGTAGAGAAGGTAAATATATTAGTAGTAGGTAGAAGCAAGTTTAGGTTTTGCCTCTGACGATTTTTGATCCCTCCTTATTTTTCAACAGCATAACCCAGAACACCAACATCACTGATAGTCAGAAGTGTTCACCACTGACCGTAAATGCTGTATTTTTTTTTTTACATTTATTTAATAGTCAGGCCTGTTTATTGACATCAGAATATCGTAAATATAAGATTTAAACAGAATCCACTTTAGTAAACTTGCTAACTCACATGAGCACTTTCAGTATTTATCCATCACTCACCTTGAGCTTTCCCTTATTGAAGGCACAAACTGACACCTGGTAACCAGAGTGGCCCAGGTCCACAAACACCACTATTCTGGGCTTCTCTTCTGGAGCTGGCAGGTCCTGCTTGTAGATTCCATATGCCAGAGTCACTGCAGCAATCAGACAGAAGCTTCAGGTTATTTTCTGCTCACCGCTGCATCCAGGAACTAATTAGTACTCCAAATTCCAGCTGCACTATGCTAAACTAAATCTGCTCGAACTAATGCAATTGTTACTGCAATGCTGCAAATGTATATAAATAAAATGTAGGGCAGGTTTAATGCTGTGCATCTATTTCACTGTATCTCATGGTTAAGTTATAAGCTAATGCAATAACCATTTTCAACGTGTTTCTGAGTAGTATGAGATTAAAGGCTCAACAACAACACAGCAGACTTAAAGATGATCTAGATGTTTCCATGAACCTGCAGTAGTCTCGTTCATCAGTCGTAAACAGTTGAGGCCAGCGATCTGAGCTGCGTCCATGACTGACCGTCTCTCTGCATCAGTAAAATAGCTTGGTACCTAAGAGGAAAACAAAAAAAAAACATTACATTACACTATTCCATATTTAGGATCAATCTGGGCCCCTCAAAGGAATAAATCACCCATCTCACAAGATTCATAACCTCCCTGGATAAAATTACCAAGTTAGTTACTCAGGGTGCCAAAACAAAACAGCTCCTTGTGGAAAAGATCACAGGCTAAATTTAGCTATTGGCAACAGTACTAATAACATGTCATCCATCTCCAGAGCTGATGTAAACCTTAAGTTTAGGCCCATTGAAAGCAAGGGCCTCAAAGTGTGAGCTCTGTAACATTACGTAACAGATCCTTATTCTGTGCTAAAGAAACACACGCTTCCCACTCTTCAGCTTCGAGGTACAAGAGACGAAATAAAGCTTTCAGACAAGACGTGTGCTGAAGTGCTCAGGGCTCAAAATGTGACAAGAGCAGGTGGCAAAGCATTTCTACACCTTGCAGGCAGCTGTCAGCCTGCATATTTTACCTGAGCTGGTAGAAAATTCAACAGGATGACATTAATCGCTGGCTGTCAAATGACAGGATGTAAATCTAATGCAGTGTTCTATTCAGGTACAGTACACAAAGTCACTTTATGGCAACTTAAAGATTCATCATGCAAAGTCACTTTCACCAAATAAACAAACAACTCCTAAGACATTTAAAGCTACCTCCATAAGATCTGTTGTTACAAACCTAAGCCTGAAAAACCATCTATTGAGACCAGGATAACCAGGTGGATTAATAAAAGACCTATCCAATCCTATTTAACACGTCTCATAGAGCTTAAGTAGGGTTGTGCCACATTATATCATCCAAAATCTGGAAGTTTTAACATGATACAAAAGTATTATACAGGAAATCATTGCTGTAGCAACGCCATGTGTTTAGGTCCTCTAGTGCAGACAACAATGAGACAAGCCCAGGAAAGTCTGACAGTAAAAGCACCGTGTCAGCCTCTAATGATGATTTAGTACCTAAAAAGGAGGCGACTTCAACACCCTCTGACACACCACAATACTTTGCGAAATATGCAAGAAAACTGGTCCTGCAAAAGGTACTTGAGGAAGAAGTCATCATCACCAAAGCTACGAAGGAGCTGGTAATGTGCAACCCAAATGTAAACACGTGAATCAACCAGGCGCGCTGGCTGCACTCAGTGTGACAGGACGAGCAATCGGTGGATGCAGTTTACATGATGGAAAAGGAGGGCTATAAGCAGCTGGTTAAAATCCCTGAGCCAGGATGCAACTAATGCTTACCGAGATGACGCAATCTACTACTGGTTTCTTGAGTGCACTTTCAGCAGTCTCCTTCAGTTTGGTCAGCAGCATGCCAGTTACTTGCTCAGTGCTGAATATCCTCTCTTCTTCCATGTACATCACCTAGAAATTGGTAATGAGGTAAAAGATTACTGTCAGGACAAATCATACAGCTGTCCAGTAGAGTAAGATGTTTGCTGCAGTGTACACAAGACATTTTATGTTAATATTTCCATTAATAAGAAAACTCATTAATTATTTAAATGGCTATCTCAGTTTCATTTAGGGTTTTTTTAAGATGACAAAAATATGCATATGTGATAAAATATGGAAAAGATGCAGATTGCAAAGCCTTGTGGTTTAACAGGCAAAACCAGGTTTATGTATTTTGATTTGATTTGATATTTCTTGTGCTCTTATTTATCCTGAGGACTGACATTAATCATCTCCACGGGGACTCTACAACATGCCGCTCTGTGCCTTTGCAGTGTGCCAAGCGAAGCATTGTCATTTATGCACTTGCAATAACTTTGGGTATTTCTGGAGTCTCACAGTCATCATCTGTTAGTGCCAGAAATGTGTACATTTTTCACATTTAGGCAGTCAGTCAGCAAAGCGTACGGTTCATATCACCAACACAATTATCATTTTGCCCATAGGATAATATTCCAAGAGACAAAATCCCTGCAGAAATAAGTACAACATACTGAAAGTGTTTTTAGGATTAAATGGAAAGATGAAGTAGGAATGCTATGAATCAGAGCAAAAAGTATTACATGACGCACTTCTTAGAGCACAGCATGTAGTGAGTGGAGGATGCAACATAGTCAGAAATAAGCTGTTGTATCTACTGTGTGGTCTCTCGGTTAATTTTCTTTTAATGGTCTTTTTTTTCTTTTGATTAATTATTTCCCATCAGCTAAGCTGAGGGCAGAAACCTGGTTAGAAAATACAGTCTTACTTTTATACCGGTGGCCCCAGAGGGCATCGGTGCCAGCTCGTACACCAAGTTAGACTTGGCCGACTGGATGTAAGGATCTGTGAACGCTCTGCCATGTAATCGCTTGAAGCTCTGCACTGTGTTCTTATAGTTGGTCACCACCTGAATAAAAAAAGAAAGACAAAACAGGAGGAAACAAAGCCAAGTATTAACCACTTTTTACATTTAATTGTAAATAATTCTCATAAATATGACCGTATCGGTGAATTAATTTTTACCTGGCTCTTTGCAGCAGCTCCTATCGAACGATTTCGGGGTCCAAACGATACAAAAGACCTGGACACACACGAGTCAAAATGTTAAGCTACATTAATGACACAACTAGCAGAGCTTCACATGATAGTTCAGTGACCAATCTACACTGGTCACAATTTTTAACTAGTTGATCTCAGCACTTTTCTAAATAATCCTTGTTGAAACCTGGACTGAGGCTCCAGACTGGCTTGTTTAAGTTTTGAGTTGTCTGTACTATATAAACACAGGCTGAAGTGGTGTGGTAAGTCCACTTAAATCACACAGGGCTTGCCTCTCATCACCATCTCTATCAAACACAGATGCTGATGACACAGAGTAAGCGTTGCTATGAACACACAAGTGGAGTGTGGTGATGTCAACAATACAAGTCTCTGAGGAGAGTCACTCAGCGGATGCTGATCTTCAATCAAGAACAGGACAGGAAGTTGTATGGTAAATAGACTGGCTGTTATAAAGTGCTTTTCTATTCTATTTGAGCACTCAAAGGACTTTTTACAGTGGTGTTTGTGATGTTTATGATGTAGTAGAGAGTAAGTTCACAAAAACAGTTCAATATTTGTCAAAAAATGTCCAATATTCATAATTTTTCAAAATTTAATGCAACATATTTATGTGAGCAACAGACAAAACGTTGTGCAAGTTACCAGGAAAGTATTTGTTTTCTTTTTACTCAGTAAGTATAAGCCTTTACAGAACAAAGTGTGTTACGAATATTCAACATGAAATTCTGTGTTTAAATTCTGAATGTGAATTTGTCGTATAATACATATATAACACCCAGCACGCCCCTGCGGGCGGTTTATCCTTCAAGCTCGGGTCCTCTACCAGAGGCCTGGGAGCTTGAGGGTCCTGCGCAGTATATATACATATATATATGTATATATAATATATACACACCAAGAAACTGTGATGTATAATCTTTCTATTCACCAAATTATCTTATACGTGATCTACTTCTCTGACACATGTTTGCCTTGTAAATTTGAATAAAATTAAATAATTTTTAAAAAGTCCAGGTTGATTCACAATAAAGTATCTTCAGCAACTTAATGATGTATACATATTTCATATAACCATGACATAAAACCCATTTTATATATATTATATTAAATTTTTCTGACTTTCTGACTAGTAGGTGCACGTCTAAGCATAAATTGGGCGTTAATGCTTATCTTTTTCTTTCCCTGTTTAATACAAACGTTATAAATAAATTACAATATAATAACTGGTCTTATTTCATTTTATTAATACTCTTTGGGAGGGAATTCTAAATTGTAATGATACATCTATAAATATACCAGTTAATCATTCAAAACCAGTGACAGTGTATAACATTCAATAACGCTTGTGTGCTTTATATTAACGTTGAACTCTTACAAAAGAGAAAATACTGTAAAGACTTTAAAAATTAGTCACGATGACTGAAATCTAACTAATGGAATTACAAAATGCGCCATGAACCCAAATAAGCAGAATTCAAACAATATTAAAAAACCTTTCTGATAACAATATGTTTTTCAATAATACTTTTGCATAATAATAAATACTATATAACCTTACACCGTTTAAAACATGAAAGGCTAAAAGACATAAAAATTTGCTAGAATATTCCAACAAGAGATTGGCCGCTGTCGTCATCGTACAGAGCATAACGCAAGGCGTACAATTTGCCACACGGGGCACACCGGTTGGTCGGAGTTTACGCCTTGAAGACAAGCACAACTACTTAAAAACGACAGGTGACAAACACCGCCCGGTCGTGTTTTAACCGGCGAAGCCACACCAATTCTCCAAACTGTCATTACCGTTAATAAAACTATGAGCTCAGCTAACTTGCTTAGCTTCATAATCGGTCTTGGAAGGCGGTGTGAGCCTTATGAGTTAATTTCTAGATGGTTCCATGCTCACCATAGACAGGCTGAGAAATGTATCACTAACTTACACGGAAAAGCAGTTCAATTTCCCAGCAATGAGCACAAATGGTCGCTGAAAGCAGAGAAGTTGCGTTCACGTGTATTACAGTGACACAGGTGAGACAACACTTATAAATGAAAACCTGTCCTGTGTAGCTATCCTTCACAAACTATAATAAGATTTTACTTGGTACTTACGGTGTACATCTGTCGCTGTACTCATTGGCGATTGTCTCGATTCCTCCAGCTCGGGCTACAGCTACATAGCAGCTTTGAAAGCCCAAGTCAAATCCCACCACTGACATCTTGAGCGATATGTGTCTCCTAGGTTTATCTTTGTATACAGTATGATTTCTGTAAAGAAAATAAACCTGTAACTAGATTTTAAAACATAAAAAAGATGCTCCAGTCAAGTGAAGTTGTTAAGCTGCTCTGTCTTAAATACTTCTACTCATAATCCACACCGCTGATTGTTGCCGGTGTCTCTGATGTGTGTTGGCAGGCTGCAGCGGCAAGGTCTGCTTTACCGTCTCGCCCGCAGACATCGCGAGATTTACAGGGTTCTAGCGCTCTCTGGACTTTTCCATATCCACGTGAAAGACAGTTCTCCAACAGTCGAGGTGTAGGGAGAAAGCTCCATAAATTTCTTCTTATTTAATAATAAATAATAATAAAAAACTCCAAGTTTAAGGTTTACAGTAAGTGAAATCAACAAATGACTAGCTTGATGAATTCTGGAATCGAATCAGGGTGGGGAAACAAAAATAGACTGTGATGCAAAAAGTGATGAAGTCATTTTTGTCCCCTTTTGTTTTGGTTTTTTTTTAATTTTTTTTTTTATTAGAAATAAAAAAAAAATGTAAATGACCCAGCTCAGAGCAAAGTCATGGGGAAAATAAGAAAATATAATAACATTAAACAAATTAATTATAAACAACTAAAGCATAGCAATTTTTAAAGTCGTTGTTACTGAAAAAGATTAGTTTTTAAATACGTTCTCCTTAGTAATTTTCATGATATAAAATTACCAATCATTATAAATAATTAGTATAAAATAGTAGCTGACATAACACTTTTTTGGTTTGGTTTGCAAAAACAAAATGTCATTTATTTAAGAATCTATGAAACAGAGAAGAGAGCTGATGACATGTAAACGCAGCTCTGACAAATCGTAAATGCAGGTGGGTGTGGTGACACTTGACTGCTGAAAGTGTGCACTGTGTTGGTGACAGATAACTGAATGCTTAACCTCAGTAACTGTTTCCACAGAAAGTGGAAATAAGAAGCTGGGGAGAAATATGATAAACAGAATGTTTATATGCCATTATATGCTGATTGTAAACGAAACATTATTATGTGAGGCACATTTTTTCCTTTAATGTAGTATAAATGAATCACATGTATCACAGTACTGCACTAAACTCTAATTCATTTATATTTTATTTGAAACATAGGAAATCAATGCACCAAGATATTGAAACATGTTCAAACCAAATGGAAATACAAGAAAAAACTGAGTTTGTGAGTTTGTACACATATTTGGATAATGCTTTTGCTGTATTGGCAGTGCGTTTGGTATCACTGTCATGCTTTCCAGACTGTATTGCACGGAGGATCAAACTCTGACTGTGCTTTTCTGCAGTCATAATTGATCAGTTTTAACAAGAACTCCAACACCATGAGATTTACATGATGGAGGGGATTCATATCTGCATTTTGTTTTACAGATTCTGCAGACACTCACAGTTGTACGTCTCTCCTGACCTCTTCTGCACAAACTGATGATGATTCGACTCACAAATTTCAAATTACACTGATTTTCAGACCACTTTTTTTTTTCTAATTTAGCATACCTCGGGCTGTTTCCCATTCTTAAGAATGGCTTCTTGACACTCACTCAGACCATTTCGTCAAACAGATGGATTAAGAGTCAGGTCTTTACTGGATTTTGTCCTGTTTCTTAAGGATGACTTTGAGATACTTCTCATCTGCCGAAGAGAGCTTTTTTGTAGTTGTCGATTACAATTTAACGACATACAATTTGAAATTGTGTCTTTAATTGTCTGATCTGTATTGCCACCATACTCATTTATCACTTAGATGGCTTTTGTATGTTTGAATGATTCATAGGTCAGAGTTAAGTGTTACATACACAGACTGGACTGAAACGGAGGGAAAATAACAGCGAATGTCCAAAGGAAAACTTTGACAGAATTCAGGAAGCCTGCAGAACCATTGCTCAAGAACACTTAGAATAATATCCTGTTCCTTATAAGCAAAATATCAAGAAAAATGAGGAGTTGCTCAAGACTTTTGCATAGTATTATTTAAAAAAACACACACAAAACGTCAGGGCTGCTGTGAATTAAATGTTAATGATTACAAATACATGCAGTAGACCTTCCTTACCCATAGGAGGCGATAACGGAGTTGATTGGGCCGGAAATACGCGCTTATTTAACGCCAACAAAGAAGAAAAAGTAACCTGCAACATGGCGACTCCCATGCATAGATTAATAGCCAGGAGGCAAGCGTGAGTATAATATTGTTAATTGACTGTAGCGCTGTGGGTTTTGTATATTCGTGAGTACTACAGGCTGTTGAACAGCAGCGAGGTTCAGCTGCTCGAGCTCCGTGTCAGACTCAGGGGCCGGTGAACAGTGAACGCAGCTCCAGCGCGCCTCTCTGTGCTCCACATCATTATTAGCTTATTTATTCTTGTGGAGGGTGTCTGTTCAAGGCTGGTTGACGCCGTGAATGCCACTTTTGTCACACTATCTGTTTCAAGAACGACAAATAAAATGTCGGGTGTCTGTCACGTTTCTGCGCTCACTTGTTTATAAAAGTCAGGCGGATTTTTGCCGTATTTTAGTGTCTGTGAGGAAATGTTGAAAATATTTTTGCATTGAATTGTAACACAGGCAACACAGCAATGTCCCGCTGGTGCTCGGTTTTTTTTATTTTATTTATTTATTTTTATTTATTTATTTTTTCCAGCCATTTATCACTGGTCTCAAGTTTGCACCTGAACTTATTCTGATACGTGAAAATGATTTCATCTCTTCTTGAGCAAGGAGAACTGCAGGGTGGTGCTCCTTTTCATTACTGTTTTTCTTTAATGAGCATTTGAATTCGTATAGGAATAAGAGGTCGGCCCATCTTCATATACGCTGCATATTTACTCACTGTAGAAAAAGCACCTTTAAAGCACTAATGAAGTTAAAACTTCCAACTTCTTCAGCAACTACAAAGCTGTACTTTTGTTTATTAACATTTACAGTTGTGGTCCAAAGGGGTCATGGTAATTTTGGGCTTTTAATGATTTATTTGATCTGTTCTTTCTCTAGGGTGGGATTACTGTACAGTGTACATCTTTAATGATGGTAAAAAAAAAAATGGTAAAATGGCCTGCATTTGTATAGCGCTTTTCTAGTCCCTAAGGACCCCAAAGCGCTTCACACTACATTCAGTCATTCACCCATTCACACACACTGGCGATGGCAAGCTACATTGTAGCCACAGCTGTCCTGGGGCGCACTGACAGGCGAGGCTGCCGGACACAGGCGCCACCGGGCCCTCTGACCACCACCAGTAGGCAAACACGGGGTTAGTATCTTGCCCAAGGATATTTGGCATGCAGTCAGGAGGCAGCCTGGGATCGAACCACCGACCTTCTGATTAGTGGCTGACCTGCTCTGCCACCTGAGCTACAGCCACCCTGCATCCAGTGATGTTAAAAGAAGGCAAGAACAAGTTTCAATTTATTTTGGATTTTCTCTAATCCACATAGCATCAAAAGTGTATATATACAGGCTTAAATACTGCATACACCTCCACTAATATTTGATTAAATGTCCTTTAGCAAGTTGCACCTCAACCAGACATTTGGCAGCCATCAATAAACTACTGTCAGATTTTTGGCTGGATATTTGAGCACTTTACTTGGCAGACTTGTAAGAGTTTATTTCAATTGGTTGGTTTCTTAGCACTAACCTGGTTTTTAATTTTCAATAGGGTTGTGGTCAGGGCCTTGGGAAGGTCTTTCCAGAAGTTTGCCCCCCCTATTTTAAAAAGAAAAACAAACAAAAAAAACAGTTTTGATGTTTGCTCAGGATCATTGTCCACTTGGAACATCTAATTGTGTCCAACTTCCAAATGTTTAGTTCTTGATTTGAGGGGAAGTTGAAGAATTTGGAAGTAGTCCTCCTCTTTCATTATTCCATCCCCTTTGTGCAATGTACAGGTAGCACTTGCACCAAAACAGCCAGAGAGCAGGATGCTACCACCACCATGCTTATTCTTAGGTTTAAAAGCCTCACCTTCACTCCTCCAAACATACATCTTGTGGTTGTGGCCAAATAGCACCAATTTTTTGTCTCGTTAGACCATAAAACCTTTCTCAAGAAGGCATTTCACTTGTCCATGTGGGATGCAGCATATTTCAGTTGAGTTTGAAAGTGTTGATTTTGGAGCAGGGGCTTCTCGCTTGATCAGCCCTTGACCCTCTCAGTCTATGTCAATGTAAAACTAGCTTCACTGTGGACAGTGATGCTGATGTTCCAACAGTTTCCAGTTCATCATCGGGATCAAGCGCTGGCGGTTCCGCAGTTGTTCCTGGGTGACACATTTGAATAAAATTCCTCCAATACAACTTCCCAGTTTGTGTAAAACTGGAATTCTCCTTTTTACTGTAGATCTTCAGTAAGTTCCTTGGGCTTTAACAGTTCAATCTAGTGAGTGCTGTAAGCCAAATCCTTTTTATGCTGGCAAAGAGAAACTACCACTTGCAGTCAGTCATGATCACTAATGAGAAGTTAATAGGCCTTGGCCTTTCATGTTAAAAGACACTGTGAAACCTTCAATGCCACTTTTTAAAATATTTAAGTAGGGATAGGTATCGTTTAGATTTTATCCAATACCGGTGCCAAATCGGTACTTTTGAAACGGTGCCTGTGCTTAAACGGTGCTCGAACCGGTGATTAAAGAATGGAGAACACAAACTAGGGCTGCTCGATTATGGCAAAAATGATAATCACGATTATTTTCACTGAAATTGAGATCACGATTATTTGACGATATTTATTTCGTCCGCCAGAGCTTATATTATTTTTTTACATGCTGTAGTGCCATTTGTGGGAGCATTTCAAGTTGCTATACATCAATACAACTGTTATAGCCCATATTTTAAAAATGTGTATGCATTAAGTCCATAGTAACTACATTAATTGCAAAAAAGTGCAATAAACTACAAAAAAATTGAAAATCGTTTTTGTTTTTACATATATTTCTACTTGGAGAAATTTAAGAGGTTTATCCCTCAAAACTTTAAATACAAAAAAGTTGCAAAAAATAGTTTACAACAACAGGAAATTTATTTTGAGTGTCTTCATAGTTTTATTTTTGGAGATACAGCAATTTTTATATACTGCAGGAAAAACAAAAAAACAATCCTATGATGCAAATTTGCAAAGACTGTGCATCAAAATAAACTATTTCCAGCAGTGCAATTCGAGTTCTAAGGCCTACAAGTAAAAAACTACATTTTCCGCAAAAACGTCACTTGCGATAGTTCGCGTTGACGTCTTGTTCAATGTGGGAAGTTCATGATCGGATCGGCAAAGCGTGTTTCTGGAATATTATGTTTTTGTTCCTGCAAGCTCTTTTTATGCTATTTTTGCAAAGCTATATGTGGAAGGAAACAGTGACCGAGGACAAGCTGATGGCATAAGAAGTACGTACAACTCCTCTGGTTTCATATGGAAAAAAATTTATTGTGCTAGCTTAGCGTTCAGGTTCTACAGGGATTTAAAAATAGTTACACAAAACGAGCATGCTGCTCTGACCGGCTTTAAAGGTTTAACAATAACAATGTATTGAATAATGACTTTAAAAAATAATATAAAATAGTGTGCAAATACTGATAACAGTGCAAATGTTTGCAATATAAGAAATAAATGAAAAATGTGAACTTTGCAGTGTTGCTCTGTGGTGCAGCTACGACACCATAGCAAAGTTTACACACTGTGTCTACTTGATCCACATCTGACTCCGCGAACCCATAATGTTTCCACACCACTGAAGTTTTTTTTCTTTACCTTTCTTTTCAACCAACGGCAGTCACTCTCCTCTCCAAATAACTTCTGCTTAGCTTTCCGAGCTTCCCTCGGGTCCTCTTAATTGTTGTGACGCGTGTTCGAAATGCAGAGCAGTGCGCTTGATTTGCCACATGGAGCAGCGCGAGAGTAAAGCATGAGGGAGGGGCTAATAATCGGCTCAGTCATTTTTAATGATCGTTGAAAGCCCAGATCGTAATCGTGATTAAAATTCGATTAATTGAGCAGCCCTAACACAAACTTTGTCCAAAAACCTTGTAACTACGACGGTGTTTGCTAGTTCACCTTGCATGCATTAATATAATAACGTTGTTAGCGTACTTAACGTAAATTACACACGAACAACATTAAGCTACTCGCCCAGAGAAGAACTGCTGATGCTGCCATCGTCATTTCTGCTACACTGGCAGGGCTAGGGGCCAGGAGTCTCCCCTTTGGGTTCTTGGGAGATGTTGCTAACTCCAGGTTAAAAAAAACAAAAACGCTATGCGTCGCCAGGTGTTTCATCAGATTCGAGGAGTTACCTCCTTTGCACAGTATCACCTTAAAGCACTTGCTGCAGGCTGCTGAGTTTGCGTCTTTTGCTGTGAAGTACAGCCAGACTTTGACTGCTTCGCCTTGGGCATTTGTAATCTGTAGCTCTGCTATAAAAGAACGTACGTACATGGGTCCGCCTACTATCCTTGGAAAGGTAAAATGATTGGCTATAATCCAAAGTGTATGACATCTCAGGAAAAAAAAGCACCGAAATGTGCGCTGCTTTTCGGTCTGGTTACTACCGTTTATGTCAGAACCGTGCCATAATGGCACCGGATACCAGTACCCATCCCTATATTTAAGGCAGTGTATGTATATATTTAAGTATGTATGCATACATTTGACACTTTGTGGGGGAAAAAAGAATCCAAGAAAGTAATTGAAAGTACGATGAGTGGATGTAAACTTCTTACCACAACTGTATGTGACAGCAAAGAGGTGTACCCGCAGCCATGTCTATTTACATTCATATTAGCCTTTGTTGTTACATACAGGGAGGCAAACAAACAACATGTGCGCTGCCAGAAGTGTTTGGAGATGGGACACTGGACCTACGAATGCACCGGGAAGAGGAAATATGTGCACAGGCCATCAAGAACGACTGAGCTGAAAAAGAAACTCAAGGAAAATGAAAACAAACCCCTCAGCATAGCTGGGTAAGGTGTCTTGATCAGATTAAGCAATTTTATGTACAACAATACCTCTGTGTTAATATAGATATTTGTGCATCAGATTTTTTTTTCTAATCACTAATGATGTTCATTAAAAATCTTTTTTTTGTTTTAAATATTGGTCTCTACAGACCAGGCACAGAAGGCTCCAGTGAGAAGAAAGTGAAAAAGAAGTAAGTAAGGTGGACCAACTGTCACAACTGATATGATGTAGTTATCAGACCTGCTATAAAGTAGGGTTGCACAATTATTATTTATTTTATTCTTTTTTTTTTTTGGTACCTCCATGATGTCTGTGAATAAATTGTGTAGCAAAGTAGTGGAACGTGATTTCAGTGCATCTTTGCGAGCTTTAAGAATATGCCAATGGGCCTTGCAGGCTCACATTCATGGACATCGGAGTTGAGGTTGGACTTACGTTACAAGAATAAGTCCTGCTTTCCAACACTGGCCTGTGGAGTTGCACAGTTCATGTATTACATTCCTAAAAAAATAACTTATTACACAAAATGATACTGGGTAACATTCATAGCAGAGAAGAATGGTTAGATTACGGTTTTGCAATTCAACAAGTTTTAGACTGATTAATTTCCGGGGGAAAATTTGCTCAGCGAGGGATTCCAGGAAGGTGCTGGCATCCCTGAGTATGTGTTTCGGAGCTGCTTCCCTGTTTTGAAGCTTTAATTAAAACCAGTCTGTTTTAAGTGAGTGAAACGTCCCTAAACAGCTCCCTCTTGTGGAAGCTCTTGGTGACTGCACATCACTACATTTGCAACCTTTTCAAATCTCTTAAAGATTGCAGTGTTTTGTCTCATAGCCATAATGTCTAATCCATCAACCTAACTGTTCTAAATGTCATCTGTGGTAATCTTAAACACTTTGTTTATCTGTTGAAAATGCATTAAAACTTTTATTTAATTTTTTTAATGGTAGATTCTGGTCTCATCACAGCGATGTGTTAGAAACACCATTGTTGTAGTCTGAGCTGTGATCACAGCAAAAGCACAGTTGTTACTAATAACAAGTCACAATGTCTCTGTTTTGTTCTCCCAGCATGTGCAAAAACAGGACTGTGAAACTGAAGCAGTTACACCAAAACCTGTTGTTTTTTGTTTTGTTGGGGGTTTTTTTGTCTTTTCCTCCTTGACACCTTTGCGTTTCTTACTGCGACAGCCATAAAACAGCCACAGCACTCCTTTCAGCTGAGGACTCTTTATCTTTCCCAAATAAATTAACCTTCTTCTTTTTGAGAGCAGTAAGAGCGCCCGTTTGGGTCTATTTAACTGAAGATTGACTCAAGAGTTTGTCCCCTGGTGGTAAGGGTGCCTGACACAGCAATTATTCAATGGGTGTAAAAGCATTATAAGAATGTGTGTGGTTTTTAAAAAAAAAAGTGTCACTTGAATGCATTTTAAGCCAGAGTCGACTTGAAAAACCTCTCAAAGTTCTGCTGTCCCAAGTGTTGTGACTTTCTTAGTCTTGCTTGTTTGTTTGAGGGTCGGAGGGGAGAATGCCATCAAATCCCATCAGTACCAGACATAACAGGGATATATGAAAGTAGCTGTTGAGAATTATAACACTGTCACTCCCTGCTCATAAAAGAGGCAGATAAAGGCCTTATTATCAGAGAGCTCATCGTGCGACTGTTCTGGTCTGTTCAGCATCCAAAAGGAAAACCGTAAAATCGTTGTCACGTGTGTAGCCGCGAAGTCTGCGTGACACCCAGCTGCACCAATTTCCCCATCGTGGAAAAAATGCAGCTTGCATGTATTATCTCATCACGCGACACGTGTGAAAGGGCAACTCTGGATAATGTCCCAACCCACATTTTCCTAGAATTCGCGTGTGAGAAAACAAATTGGTGTGCAGGTAATGTTCCAGGTATGCAAAATCAGCACTTGTAGTTGACGTTGTGTCCTCTGAGTTCCAGTGTTTGTAAACAGAGTATTACAGCAAGTGAGATGCACCTTAGGGACTGTAACAGGTACAGCCTGAGACCTTAATAACCAAACCTCTGGTGTTCAGCGTTGGATATTCAGATTTTCCTCCACTTGTTCTCAGGGCTAAAGACTCGAGCGACAGCAGCAGCGGCTCAGGCGGCTCCTCCAGTGACTCATCGTCAGACAGCAGCGATTCCTCCAGCTCCTCTTCAGATGACAGCAGCAGTGACAGCGACGATGACAGCTCTTCCTCCTCCTCATCCTCTTCTTCGTCCTCCTCATCTTCGTCCTCAGACAGCTCAGACTCAGGAAGTAGCAGCGATTCGGATCAAGGACCTCCTAAGAAGAAGAAAAAGAAGAAATAAACATTGTGGAATCAGCAGGATTTCTTGTTGTTATTTTTCTTTTCCTGATTTTTTTTTTTTTTTTTTTTTTTTTTTTTTTTCCCCTCCTTATTAAAAAAACAACAACAACAACTGAGTGGATATGGACTAAGGAGAGGAGACACGATGTCACAAAAGAGAGAAATAAGGCAATTCCAGTGTTACTTCTACTAGTGGGATATTTTCTTCAATTTTTAGGTCTACTAAGGATACAAACTTTAAATATCCAAAGCAACGAATGTGATTAATCAAATGAAATCTTGTGATTTTGTACTTTAGTATATTTTTAGTGAAACTTAATCTGTACAGTTCAAAATCTTTATAAAACAGCAGCATATCTAGAACTGAAAAGACATGATACAACAATAAAAGATTATATAACAGTTGTTTTAGTCTGAATAAAATTAGTTACGCACACAAAACTCTTGTTGCTCGGGAATTGGATTTGCTTGTCTCACTGTAAAGCTAGTTTTTTTTTTGTTTTGTTTTTTTTAAAAACCTTTTTGAATTTGCTATTGTAAAATATTTTATTTTGCTAAAAAAAAAGAAAAACGCATTATATGATTTTAGATATATGGATTTAGGAATAAAATGTCAAACAGTCTTTTTGTTCACGAGTTTACAAATAAAATATTTTTTAAATCAGCATATAGTCATGTGAAATACAGGTTATTGTAGTTTTGCATTTTCTATTTCATTTCATTTTCACTTTGTTTTTACGTTTAGTTGGCGTTAGTTTTCAGAGAGGATTTTCTTTCTTCAGTTTAGTTTTTTTTTCAGTTTATCATTTGTCTTTTTATTATCAATATAGGGAGGGGATATGTCAGTTTCAGGAAAACCAAGGATTGCAGTAAAAACAAAGCTGACTCGGTCTTGACGACATCTAGAGTCTTAATAAACACATCCATCAATGCCTCATCAGGCAAGTTGTAACAATTGTTTTTTAAACTTAGGGTGTTTTCTGAATATGCTTTATTTTATTTTTTAATAAAAGTGTTTAGTTTTAATTTTTAGCTAGCTATAATAACCTTAATCGGCACATAACAAAGAAAAACCCATCTTGTGTCAGCAGGTCTTAAAATTATTCAACACAACCTCATATGAACGACACATGACATAGTAAATCATTTTTAACCTTAGCCAAACTACAGAAGCAGTGTGTGGGAAAACCAAGTATACCCTATGATTCAGTAGCTTGTAAAACCGCCTTTAGCAAGAATAAGTTGAAGTAATCAATTTCTGTATGACTGACAGTTGCTTACGTTGTGGAGGAATTTTGGCCCACTCTTTTTTCCTTTCTTTTTTTTACAGTGTTGTTTAATTTCATTGAGGGTTGCTGTTGCATTGCGTTTGTTTATGCTCAACTTTCCTGCTACAGCATTTCATCAGGATGAGGTCTGCGCTTTGACTCGGCCATTGCAACACCTCGATTCTTTCTTTTTTTTCCAGTTATTGTGTTGCAGATTTAATGCTTTGCTGTCAATGTCCTCTTGCACAACTCGATTTCAGCCAAGCTTTAGCTGACAGTCACATGGCTTCACCTTTTACTCAATGACTGCAAAGTTTCCAAGTCCGGTGGTTGCAAAAATACCTCAAATCATCAAACCTCCACCACCATGCTTCACAGTTGGTGTGAGGTGTTGATATGCTAGTTCAGTTCTAAGTTTACAGTGCGTATTATGGCCAAACATCTTCACTGTGTACTGATATGTTTAAGGAGTTTGCTCTTGTGGTTTGTTTAGATGCAACTTTGCAAACTTAAGCTGTGCTGGCCTGTTCTTGTAAGAGAGAAGAAGCTTTCTCCGGCAACCCTTCCAAACAAGACATACTTGTTCAATCTTTTTGTAACTGTACTCTCATGAGCTTTAACATTTAACATGCTAACCAAGGCCTTTAGAGTCTGAGATGAAGCAGGGTGTACTTAGTTTCTCACACGTTTTGGTTTTTTGACTCAATTTTTGATGAATAAATAATAACAGTGTAATATGTCACGTTTTCAAGTTTAACTGAGGTTGCATTTACCTTATTTTAAGACCTACTAAGGACCAGATGTTATTTTACATTATGTCCTGATGCCTGAAACCTTAGAACTGAAAACAGATCCACTTCCTTCTTTTCATTCTATGTCCATGTCAGGCAGTATTAGTGGGAAGTGCTGTTGTCTTCAAAGATAATATAAAATCTTGTAAAATTATTGTTTTTGTAGTAATTAAAATATAAACATAGAGTTTAGCATCCAACACAGACAGTCAATAAGGTTACAGGACACCCAAAAGCTGCTTTGAGCCTTTTAACCAATGTAATGCCAGTTTTTGCTGCGTATAGGCACCTGTAAAGTCAGACATATTATTGCACATCCACTAAAGGTGTGAAGTTGGAGGCAGAGTAAGACATCACAAAGTAAGTCATTGTTTGAAAGATTAAAAATGAATCATATTACTATTTAAAACGTATTTACTTATTAATCATAGACGCGGGCAGCTAAATCTAGATAACTAGGGTGTGTGTTGAAGATTAGATGAGCTATGAATTAAAAGCAGGGTACGGTTTGTCATAACCTGCTGTCCATGGTACAATCAGGGAACAATGAAACGTGATTTCCTAAACGTCAAAGTCTGGTCAACCTTGCGCGTCACAGAAATGCTGCATTCACACCGAATGGGAATTACTTAGAGCTATCCGAGGGGTACGATAAAAAAAAAATAAAACTCGCAACTGCTAAGAAGGCTCAATCGTGTTTTTAAAGACATCGTCAGCGGTGCTGACGTGTTAATTAAGATTTACTTTATGACAGTGTTTACTGTGTCGGATGGTGGGATTGACAGATTTCCGACAGCGCAAATGCACCACCGCTTTGCCATCCATGCATTCAGTCCTGTCTGTGGTGGTACCTGCTGGCTGCTTAACTTAGCTAGCAGTCTTACCTATCAGTTCAGGAGTAACAAAAAATGAACGCGAGAGAAAATGATTTTTATTTTGTTTCCCTCTCGATGTGTCGTCGTGTTTTAAGGAAAAGATGAAGACCATCCACTTGGTTTTAGTATTTTAGCCGTTAGAGCATTTTTTTTTTTCTGAATCCGTTTTGCGTGTAACTGGAAGTGGAAAAGACAAAGAGAAAAAGAGCTTTCCAATAGCTAGAATGGTTTGGGCCTAAAAAGAAGACAAGAGGTAAGGATGCCAACTTTGATGGAAGACGTTAGTTGGTGTTTTACTGCATTAGAGGGTATCTGATATTTGAAGTGAACGCTAATTAGAATTTCGCCAAAAAAAAACAGTAGCTTCAGGGCTAGCTAGCCTAGCCTTAATACGCTACTAGCAGGGTCCGGCTAGCTAACGTTATGCTAAAGCAGATATGCAGGTAGTCGTGTAGGTAGCGTGCTAGCCAGTTGCTAATGATTTGGTTAGACATTGTACCTGCTTTGGTGTTCTGGTGGAAGGAGACTTTAATTATTCGATGGATGGGAAGGGTAGATGTTACTTTTATACGTTTCTATGCGAGGAAGTAGGGGAAAATATCGCGGTGATAGGAGTAATGTTTTTGTTCCTGTCATGGCAGCTAACAGGTCATGACGACTGATGTTTGTGTTTATCCGTGGCTGACATAACTTGTACACCTAAGTTTGCTCTTACAGACGGCGGCATAACTATATGATACTACACGTGCAAATGATAAACATACTATGTTTCCTTTGCATTTGAAATACAGACTATTCGCTCTCCATTAAAAAGCATCTGGGGAATCAAACAATGGGACATAAGTGCTACTTGTTTGTACTTTCTGTGCTAGTTTATGGTCGTTTTAGGTAATCATTGGCTCTTGATACTCGCTATTTTTCGCACAGTGACGACGAGCATAAAGTTTTAGGTTCGTATCCTCCTCCTTTATTGTATTACTAACTCCTAGTGCCACTCCTTGCTGTGTCCAGTCAAAGTCTTTATTTGCATGGAAAATCAACACTGGGGAGAAGGGCAGCACAGTTAATCCGAATGTATGCTTTGGTTGAGCGAAGGATCAGCTGATGTGCTTTTCTAGGAAGCCATTTTACGTGCCATAGTTAGGGGGGAAGGGCCAGAAAATGCGTGATAAGTCCAGAGTTCCTCTTAACACTTGTCACTGGTAGTTCATGCACGCATGTGGAGGGATGGGCTTGACGCATGGAGACAAGGAAAGTGCAACCAACTGACTTATTATGGTTGGCTGCACTTAGTCGGGAGGGGGGACGAGTTCATGCCCTAAGGTCATGAACTCGTTCACGGCAGGTAGCTGTGAACCGGCTCAGCAACTTTAGTCAGATGGTGGATGGAGCAAAAGCTGTACTTGAACTGTGGTTGCAGTTGTTGATTTGTTGTTATGTAGACATAACAGGAGTGTTGATATTGCAGTCGGATTCAATTATGTCAGAGAAAAAACTCTCTCCCCCCCCCCCCCCCCCCCCCCTCATACAGTGGAGTGAGCTGCAGTACTTGGCTGGTTTAGGACAACTGCTGTTTTATATTCAATAATTTTCTGAAAATGCCAGGCAATAGTGCAGTCTGAAACTCCAGCTTCCACTCTAGAAGATAAACAAATAGTAAATAAAGTTGGGGTTTTTATAGCAAAAAATGGACCTTTGAGAGGTGATTATACACTATGACTAGACTACATTACAGACAGCTTTTAACAAATAATGAGTTTATTGCATTAGTAAATTACACCTCATGTCTCACCGACGTGGTGATTTTCCTCTGGTACAAGGCTAAAACCTCTTCTGTGTGCGCTGTTAAGTAGTTTAACTACAGTGTAGCCCTTGGTTGGCGCTCTTACTGTATTTTAATACACAGAAGGTCACCCACTTGTTTGACTATACAATTGAAATACTCTTAGTAGCAGCTTGAAACATAATGCCATCACCAGGCTTGCTTGAAGAGCTGTGTTGATGGCAGTAAGTTAGAAAGCTGAACTGAAGTGTTGGCGCTACTTCAAAGGTTGTAGACAGAAAATTAATCCAGGTAAAACATGCTATTTTAAACTGTTAAAAATAGCTCATATATGTGTCATGCCTTTGTTTTTAAATGAAAGTGTTGAGCAGAGAGATAAGGTTGATGCATGTGACTGTACATTGTCTGGATGTGATAGTCTTTGTTTTGGGTTTCCGGACACCGAAGCACCAAAGAAAACCTTAAGCATACTTGACATTCAACTGAGGCTAGATGACTTCTAGATACCAGCTTTGTTAGTTTAAAAGAATCTTTAAAAAGGGGGGAAAGGGTTCCTGGAGCAGCGATGTAAACACCTTGTTGGCAGTAATGTGTAAATGTGCTACTGGTGACGCGGCTTACTGTGAAATCCTCTTCACTTCCTGTTTGGGTTTTGCTGTGAGGCTTCAGTTTAACAGTTTCCCCTGTGGCCAAGGCGAAGGGCACACATTCAGTCGAGATGTTA